TTTTTTTCATTTTTTTTTCTTAATATACAACTAAAGCCCAAAAATTTAAACTTATTTTAAAAATCTGAGATTCTTAATTAAGACATCCTTAAATGAATTATTCATCCCAAACATTAAATGATAATTTTAAATACAATCAAATCAAATCTAAATAATCTCAAATAGATAAATATAATCCAAAATTATCTTAAACTTCAAATACAATCCAAAATCACAAAAATTACATATCACAATCTAACATTAAATTATTATTGTCTCATGTTGGACTGCATCATGACCCAATAATTATTGTATTTTTTCAAAAAAAAATTTAATCACGGGTTGGTGGGCCAGCCCGGCTCACCACGGGTTCAACCCGGGTGAGCCGGGTTGGTGGTGAGCCGGGTTCAAATTTGACCCGTATTAAAATTTTCAAATTTTTTTTAACCCAACCCGGCTCGAACCCGTGGTGAGCCGAGTTGGCTCGCTGGGCCAAGCCCATTTTGACAGCTCTACTTCAACCTAAACTCCATCAGTTGGTATCAGATTACTCATCATTATCAAACTCAATAATGCTAAACTTGAGGGAGTGTATTGAAAAAAACACAAATCTCACATCGATTATAGTCAAAATGATTAGTTAAAAGATAAGACAATTAAAAAAAATAAGAAAATTAAAGAATATATAAGTAGAGGACAATCCTAAGATAATTATTAAAGAGTGTTTGTACTCATCTTACAAATTTCACATTGACTAGAAATAAGGTAATTAAAGAGTATTATGTATTATTTCTTAAACTTTTAGTGGCAATAGCAAAAAATATTAAATGTCAGTAAAAAATGTCACAAAAATTTATACACTTTTTCCGACTATTATAAGTGTAACAGCCCAAGCAACCCCCGCATGAGGATATTGTCCGCTTTGGCCCACGGCCGCACGTATCCTTAGGTTTCATGGACTTTTTTTTCTCTCTTTTTTCTTCTTTTTTCTTAAATCTTTTTCACTCTCTCTTTTGAGTTTCATTTGTGCTTGATCCTCAGCCACCTATTGAGGAGAAAGAGGATGAAGCACAAATTTCTTTTCTTTATGAGTAAAGGTAATCTCATTAGTAAGGCCATTATGCATGGTTTTCTTATCAAATTGTCATGGCCTTCCTAATAAGATATGACAAGCTTCTATTGGTACTACATCACATAGCACCTCATCTTCATAATTCCCAATGGAAAGCTTGACCTTTACTTGTTGGTCAACTACTAGGTCACCATTCTCATTAATCCAATGGAGTTGATAAGGTTTAGGATG